TTTGTGCTGTGAATCTCATCCAGTGGCAGCGCGCCCAAGATTTAGGCATTGCAACATGAAGCTTATGCCCCCCTTGTGAATGTAGTCTGTATGCCTTATGGCGGGCAGGTTTAATAAAACTCTATCATGTCTAAGGTAAGTAGTTTAAGAAGGGAAGTCCCAAGAAGAGTTTTTGATAAAAAGGACCCAAGAAACCATGGGCCACACTGAAACAGACATTGCACAGCACAGATGAATAAATTGTAATATCAGGTAGCCAGCCAGCCACTTTCCTTTGAGCTCAATTGAAGATGCAGCCAATTTGCTTCCCACCATATATTTATAAATTAGTGGCCTGTTGTGCTCTCTTGGGGAAACTTGATGTTATCTTACTGCTTATAAATTTTAACCTTTTCAGCACTATGCCAAATTATTCTTTCATTATGCTACTTACTGGAATTTTTTTTCCTACCTTTTAAAAAACCCCCAATTCCTTGAAGTCTTTAAATGAGATTATTATTTTTAAAATTTGGAAAATCATTATTTCCTAAAAAGATATATTTCCTAGAATATATCTAGAATGTATATCTAGAATATAGCACACAGAAAAATTGCTTTGAGCTGAATAAGGTTGTGCTGAGGATTTAAAATTAGCCTTCTAATGGAAAGTTAGGTTCTCCTTCACTGTACTGTGAGACTCATGTCTCTCCAGAATGTCATTATGTCCCCAGCATTTCCTCCAGTTTTTACTTTAGCATTTTAGTACATTTAGAAATAGACGGTTAAAAAAAGGGATCTCAAGTTTTTGAGTTACTCAGACTAATTTTCCAGTGTAACAGTAATGAAATGGCATGTAATAAAAACAATCTTTATTTGCAATTGGATGTTGAAGAACACACTTGGTAACGAAAACCAATAGGAATTCTCACAAAATAGTCCTTGTTTTCCTTTTTTCCAGTCTGCTTTTATTTGGAGGTTGCACTCTAACACATGGTCAAGCCTAGCTTTACCACTAGTGCTTTCTCATATGTTGATTAATGAGGGAAGGCAGGCTTTGAAGCCACTTTCTTTTCAGAGACAGGTGCAATGTTTTAACTGTGAAAGAGCTGACATGTGAATTATTTGTAATGAGGGAGCTATCTAAACACATCATTAACAAAGGACAAAAGGCACTGACCTAACCTGATGGCACTTTCAAATCTATGGTTATTTTCCATCTTATGCCTATTTTTTCCCCATTGCTCAATTCCAGCTGTCAAAATCAGGTTATTAACATAAAGGGACATCTTCTTTCTTTTCCAAAGACCCTTTGTATCTCAAGTGCACTGCACCATTTATTCATTGCATCTTCAGCAAAGCAAATTTTTGTAATGCTTTAGTCAAGGATCAAAAATCATTTTAAAAATTGCTGAAAGAATACATACAGTATTTTCAAACAACTTCCACTTCACCGAGAAGGTGAAGGTTGCAATGTATATGCTGTTTGTAAACTGAATCAAAGCAGTGCATGTTATCAGAAAACATAACTGGACACACATTTCTCAAATGCTTAATTTCTGTGGCTCATAATTTTGTCTTGAATTCAAAGAAACAATTTAAGTTTAACTTGAAATAATTGCTTGTGAATTGGGGCCTCTATGCTGCTGAAGTGCTAAAAATTTGGATCAATGATTAATAGGCCATCAGAGCTATGGATTAAAATGTGATAAAAAATGAAGCCACATTTAACAATAAAATGATGTCTCCTACCTAACTAGACTTTTCACTAAACTCAGGTTTTCATTAAAACAAGTTCTATGTCTGCAGGTCAAGAACCAACGAACAAATTAAGTATTCAAGGGAAAGGTTAAAGATCTATTACCAAAATAATGAAATGCCAGGTGTTTATGAAACTCCAAAATCCTGTTGGGGGGGGTGGGGGAATAGAGAGGAAAGGCAGGAAGAGCTCTGAACCTCTAGGTAAAACAACATAAACAGGATACCAAAAAAGAGAAGAGGGGGAGGTATGGGGGAAAACTGTAATGAAGTGTTGCTCAATATGTGTTAAATCAGAGCCATAATTTCATCCTGTCAGAGGATAAGAAAAGAATGAACAATGAAGCCACAGAAAAGTAGGAGGTGACAGTCACTGTAAATCAATAATCATGATTTACACAGGATGTTCAATAAGAAGCCTGTTAATTAAGAATAAAAACACTGATGGGTTGGGATCGAGGGACACTGCCAGATGAGGGGGTGTGTTAGTTTGGGGTATGACTTCTCAAGAAGAACCATTGGAGCCCCATTGTCTAGCATATTAAAACTAGACACAGTCCAAACGAGTGGGATTGCTACCGTGCAACTAGTAAATAAGTAATAATTAGTGGTGTGAGTGACTCAGCAGGTATTTCTTAATTCTAGATTGCTCAAGGCCCTCCACAATGCTGCTCCTTCTTTTACCTGACAATGAGCTGAGCCCCACTGTGGCATCTTTGGACAGGCATAGCCAGCATGCTGGAAATGTGAATAATGTAGGAGGTGCAACGTGCCTGGCCCTCTGCCAGTCTCTAGCATTGGAGTACGATGGAAGCATGCTGTGCACTGCCGATCCCAAGACAGCAAACAGCTACTTCATGTTTATATACTTCGGAGTGGCAAAATATAGACCTGACTTCACCCTGGCGCTGCGGGTTGTTATTATTCCCAATTTACAAGTGAGGAAACTAAAGAGTTCTGACTTGTCCAAAGTTACTTTGTGAATGACTAGGAGAACCAAACAGTCTACTGATATGCCATGACTCCCATAGCCCTCCTCATTACTAATCCACACTACCTTTCTAAGCTGATCTGTAGTCTCTGATGCTATTACATCCACAGTGGCACACAGACTGATGGACCTCTCTGGTTCAGCTAGTATGTTGGCTACCCACACAAGCACAGGCAGTGTCAGGAGCAGGGGGTTGGACTAGATGACCTCCTGAGGTCCCTTTCAACCCTTATTTTCTATGGTTCTAAGGCTGGCCAAAAATGTGTTTCTGGTGATGTGAAAGTGATTTACCAAATTAATTATTAATTAATCCTCACAAGCCCATGATGAGGCACTGGCATTTTAGTATCATGGGGAAAGATATGTATATATGTGTGTATGAGTATGTATGTATACACATACATATGCATATAGATGCATATGTGTATATATACACACACTGGTATACAGTGAATGTTTGTGTGCGTGTGTAAATTCTGTGGTGAGGGGAGCTGCACACATTTTTCACATAAAGAATTGGCATGGAGGCTACCCACGGTGAAAAAAATCTAATCTAATCTAATTTAGCGATCTTTATGCCTCCCTAATCTTCATCTTCTGAAGTTTGCTGGAGGGACAGATGTATAGTCTGGGATGGTTTCCAGATTCTCTCTCTCTGTCCCTTTTTTTTTTTTTTTTTTTT